TGAGGGAAAAGCTGGCATGAAATGGGGTAAAAATGGGGAAATTTTGGTAAAAAGGGGGTAAACTTGGGATTAAAGCAGGAAATTTGAGTAAAAGTGGGGGAAATTTGCAGTAATTTGGGTAAAAAGAGGAGAAATTTGGGCTAAAAGGGCTCTGAGCGCGGCCCGGTCCCCGGAGGAGCTCGGAGCGCTGCTCTGTAACCTCAGCTGCTGGTGGAGCGCTCTGGGTGAGGGGAAAATGGGGTAAAAACGGGGAAATTTCGGGAAAAATGGGGAAATTTGACGTAAATTTGGGTAAAAAGGGAAAATTTGGGGATAAAATGGGGAAAATTTGGGATAAAAGGATCCTGAGCGCGGTCCCCGGTGGAGCTCGGAGCTCTGCTGTGCAACCTCAGCCAGGCCAGAGAGGGACGGCGGCTGCTGCTGGAGCGCTCCGGGTGAGGGGAAATCGGGGTAAAAATGGGGAAATTTGGGGTAAAATGGGGATAAAATGTGACTGGGGGTGTCCGGCGTGTGGGCACTGCTGGAGCGCTCCGGGTGAGGGGAAAATGGGGTGAAAATGGGGAAATTTGGGAAAAAAACGGGGAAAAAGGGATCAAAAGTGACGCAGGAGTGTTTGGTCTGAGGGCGCTGCTGGAGCGCTCCGGGTGAGAGGAAAATGGGGTGAAAATGGGGAAATTTCGGGGGAAATTTGGGTAAAAAGAGGGTAAAATTGGGATAAAAGCAGGAAATTTGGGAAAAAGTAGGGGAAATTTGCAGTAATTGGGGTAAAAAGGGGAGAAATTTGGGATAAAAGGGCCCTGAGCGCGGCGCGGTTCCCGGCGGAGCTCGGAGCGGTGCTCTTTAACCTCAGCTGCTGCTGGAGCGCTCCGGGTGAGGGGAATTGGGGTGAAAATGGGGAAATTTGGGTAAAAATGGGGATAAAATGGGGAAATTTGGGGTAAAAGGGGAAAAAATTTGGGATAAAGGGAGGAAATATGGGGGAAAAGAGGAGAAAATAGGGATAAAAGCAGGGAAAAAGGGATCAAAAGTGACCCGGGAGTGTTTGGTCTGAGGGCGCCGCTGGAGCGCTCGGGGTGAGGGAAAAGCTGGCATGAAATGGGGTAAAAATGGGGAAATTTGGGTAAAAAGGGGGTAAACTTTGGATAAAAGCGGGAAATTTGGGAAAAAGTAGGGGAAATTTGCAGTAATTTGGGTAAAAAGAGGAGAAATTTGGGATAAAAGGGTCCTGAGCACGGTCCGGTCCCCGGCGGAGCTCGGAGCGCTGCTCTGCAACCTCAGCTGCTGCTGGAGCGCTCCGGGTGAGGGGAAATGGGGTAAAAATGAGTAAATTTGGGGTAAAATGGGGAAATTTGGGTTAAAAATGGGGAAATTTGGGGTAATTTGGGTTAAAAGGGCCCTGAGTCCGGTCCCCGGCGGAGCTCGGAGCGCTGCTCTGTAACCTCAGCCAGGCCAGAGAGGGACGGCGGCTGCTGCTGGAGCGCTCCGGGTGAGGGAAATGGGGTAAAAATGAGTAAATTTGGGGTAAAAATGGGGAACTTTGGGATAAAAAGGGAGAAATTTGGGATAAAAGGGCTCTGAGCGCGGTCCGGTCCCCGGCGGAGCTCGGAGCGCTGCTCTGTAACCTCAGCTGCTGCTGGAGCGCTCTGGGTGAGGGGAAATGGGGTAAAAATGGGGAAATTCGGGGAAAATTTGGGATAAAAGTGGGGAAATTTGGGATAAAAAGTGACCCGGGAGTGTTTGGTCTGAGGGTGCTGATGGAGCGCTCTGAGTGAAGGGAAAATGGGGATAAAATTGGGAAATTTGGGATAAAAAGGGAAAAATTAGGGATAAAAAGGGGAGAATTTGGGTAAAAAGGGGAGAAATTTTCATAAAATGGGGTAAAAGTGGGGAAATTTGGGGTAAAAATGGGAAAATTTGGAATAAAAGTGGGAAATTTGGGTAAAAGTGGGGAAAAGGGACCAAAAGTGACCCGGGAGTGTTTGGTCTGAGGGCGCTGCTGGAGCGCTCGGGGTGAGGGAAAAGCTGGCATGAAATGTGGTAAAAATGGGGAAATTTGGGTAAAAAGAGGGTAAACTTTGGATAAAAGCGGGAAATTTGGGAAAAAGTAGGGGAAATTTGCAGTAATTTGGGTAAAAAGAGGAGATATTTGGGATAAAAGGGCCCTGAGCACGGTCCGGTCCCCGGAGGAGCTCGGAGCGCTGCTTTGTAACCTCAGCTGCTGCTGGAGCGCTCCGGGTGAGGTAAAAATGGGGAAATTTGGGGAAAAATGGGAAAATTTGGGGAAAAATTGGGATAAAAATGGGGAAATTTGTGGTAAAAGGGGAAAAAATTT